GGGACATGCATAGGCGCCGACTTCTACTGGTGCCGGTGAGTGCTTGATACCCCCCTCTGCCCCTGCCCCATCCCCACCCCACTCCCTCCTTCTCCCATTCCGACTCCTTCCCCAAATCCCTGCCCCAGACCTGCCACTTCCCTGCCTCCTCCTCTGAGTATGCCACTTTCCCACTCCTCCCCCCTCCCTCTGAGAGCTTGCTGCAGCTGTGTGGCGACAGCAAGTGCTGGGAGGTAGGTGGAGGAGGAGGTGTTGTGGGACAGGGAGTTTGGCTGCCAGTGGGTGCAGAGCACCCACTAATTTTTCTCTGTGGGTGCCCCAGCCCCGGATCACCCACAGAGTTGGCGCCTATGGGGTTATGCCGATGGACAAGGGACTCCAAGTACCTTTCCATGCCCATGTGCTGTGAGTTTGTGTTTGGGACAAAGGATGTACACGCCACATGGCAAAGGATATAAAAAGGCAGCTGCATCTTCTCCATTTTGTCTGCAATCCTGTTTCTCACCTCTGGAGTAACTTCCCTACAAACTGAAGCTTTGAACAAAGGACTGATAGACCCATCCAAGCTTTGGATGTGTTCCAGAGGAACTTTGCAAGCTAGCAAATTCACCAGTTCTGCTAAGAACCTGATATATGGGTTCTGAAGTGTGTGTGTGTCTCTCTCTTTCTCTCTCTGTATATATGTGAATATATATGAAAGTATCTGACTGCTTTGACCATTTAGCAACTCTCTTCTTTTTCGTTCCTTTTCTTTTCTAATAAAACCTTTAGATTTAGATACTAAAGGATTGGCTAGCAGCATGGTATTTTGAGTAAGATTCAAACTAGTATTGATCTGGTAATGTGTCTGGTTCTTTGGGGGAATTAAAAGAACATTTGTAAAGTGAATAGAGGTTTTAAGTAACTTCTCACTGTACTGAACCTATTCGCTGACTGGGAGCCAGAGACTGGAATACAGTAAAGGGGGCTGTGTGATTTCTTTTCTAGATAACCAGTGTGGGAGATCACGAGCACAGTTTGTGACTGGTTGGTAAATCTAACTATAGTTTTGGGAGAATCTGCTCTCCTTTTTGTGTTGGCATTTCCACTGTGGGCTGCCCTACGCACCTCTGGTCATGCTGAGCATCCTACTTCACAGGCTTGCATCCTCTGTGACCCAATCCTTTCTCAAACACCAAGGCAACCTGGCCTAAAGCTGAAGTGATTTGGGCTCAGTGAGGCCAAGGCAAATGAGTCCCAGAGTTGAAGACCCTTTACTGAAAATGTCCTAGCAGTGACCCTGTCTCACTAAAAACAGGTGAAGGGGGGCAAAGGAGGAAAACTCAAGAACCTCAGCTCATCTCAATGAAAATTGTGTTCTCATATGAGGTGAGAGGTGGTGGTCTCCAAAGAAGCTGGGTCCCAAAACATTATGGTAAAATTCTAGGTGATCTCTGTTGACTTCAATGGAGTCAGGATTTCATCTTTTCACCCTTCTCATATTGAAACCAATGCTGAGAATCACATCAGAAATATAGTGAAGGCAGGAACAGATCAGCGCTCAGGTATACAGTGTATATACTCAGGTCACTCTGTCCGTTCACGGGGCACTGAAATATCTCTGTGGCATATCAAATTAATATAAGGGGAGTTATCAGTGACACCTATACCTGAGCTGGCCTGTCACTTTTTAATGTAACTCTTCACCACCCCCCCCCCCCCCC